GCTTTACACCTTGTTAGCTTAGTATTGTATGTCTGGTTTCGCCTCACCAAGTGTTTTCTCCTTCTGTTTTTACAATATTGATGGTATGCATATTGGGCATATGTAAAAGGTAGACTATTTAATTCAGGTGTCAAGGGAGAAACATGGTTGACATCTAAAATTGAGTGAGTCAGATGGGCGATGGAAGACAACTGCAACAATGTTAGATGTGTGGTTCTACTTATGGAAATGGCTTACACCAAGAAAATGTCTGCTATCAACTTAAATGCAGAACCATGACTAATAGTGAACTGGGATACTTTTTACACAGGTGAGAAAGATGACTCAAAACTTTAATAATTTAAAAGTGAATAGAACCGAAACAAGTAAACAGCCTAATATGGTCAGAATATGAAATAACTTGGTTCATAATGAAAAAGACCAAATCAGCTGACGAAGTGAATTTTAGTTCAGTTTTTGCATGAGAAAGGACTAGAACAGAGACAATGAGAGGAACATGAGTGAGATCAGGAGAAATTGAAGTAGCCATGATCTCCTTCTCGGTCCAAGAAACATATATCCAAAGGTATACATCTGGTAAGTGAAACTGTGGAACTTGGGACCCATCATCTTATTCAATCAAATTTTAAAGAGGGGTTCATTTTATTCTATTGATATTTTTACCCAGTCATTTGAATTGTTAATTAGTTACCACAAGTGAAATAAAAGAGCAAACATGAGCCACGAGTGAATAAAAAAAACACTCAGGTCATCTCGAAGCAAAAGGCACTTGCTGCTTTTTCTCATGTCAGTTTAGTTGGTAGTGCAGACTCTGAAATTTTAAAGGGTGTTATTCTTGAGTCATTGTTTCATAGCTATTTGTGATAGGTGAACAGGACCATCACACAAACTCTGCAATGTTTAGCAAGACAGTGTAAAATAACCTCATCAGTTACCTTCTTACTGAAGACAATAGAAAACCATTTGACCAGAATAACAATTTCTGGGGATCCTTTTTTTTTAAACCAACCAATATTAACAGAAATATACAAAGCTCTGATGTGACATGTATTAAGATTGTCACTGAGCTGCTTGCCTGTATCATTATTGTGATGAGTATGAGACAGCTCATGGTCTTCTAATAATTTTAACTAGTCTACTTTAAGCTGTTAGGAATAAAAGAATGTCCAAAGGATTTTTTGCAGATGACATAAAAGGTGCTAATGAAAGGCTACAACATTTGTTCTGGAGCCATAACATGAACTTATCCCCAGTTGAGCACCAGTTTATACATAATTGTCCATGTCACTCAGAATCACAGGATGGCTGGTGTAGAAAATGCGTGGTTGGTGTAGAAAATGCGTGCCTGGTGCAACAACGGTTAATTCTGTCTTCAGTTTAAGGAAGTTGGTCGGGCACCAAATCTATTCTCTTATACCTTTCCAGAAACGTATTTTCACATTGGGTGCTTGAAATAGATGTGTTAAATTTGCATCGAAGAACACAAGTATTGATGAAAACACTTCTAAAATCAGCATGATCAATTACTTTCTAAATCTTCAATGTACAATGTTAAGTTGCCAAATTCTTTGTTTCCCTACACAGAGCTTAACTTAGGCGAAAGCCATAGTAGCAATGGCCTACTTTTGATTTTAATAGCCAAATAGCTGCTTTGAGTGACTTCCTACTGTTTGGTAGGAAAGTTGACAAGCACAAAGAACTGTACTACACAGGAACAGGTCCTGCAGCCGACCAAGACTGTACTGATGCCTTTCTAAACTAAAAACCTTTTGCCAAATGGTGATCCATGTCCCTCTATTACCTGCCTATTCACATATCTGTCAAGGTGACTCTTAAACACTGCTTTTCTATCTCCCTCCACTACCACCTCTGACAGCACGTTCCAGGCACTTACCACCCTCTGTGTAAAGTAAAACTTGCCCCTCCCATCTCTTTTAAACATTACCCTCTTTTAAACTTACCCCAAGCAGCATGCTGAATAGACCCAATCACTAAAATCCATCCAGTCTGCTTTCTGCTACTCCTAAACTGGTAGGCTACTCATTTTGTTGCATTTCCACAAGGGAGTTAAAATGAAGGCCAAGGTAATTCAATCAATGGCTGCTAAAACGGCACGATACAACTGTCGAATCTACTCTGTTCTCAAGTGGAGATCAACAATGAAAATTGCAAGGGACTTTTTTTTCATTGTCTAGAACATAAAGGCTAGTTGCAGCACTGCTGAGAACAACAAATGTTGCATTCACTGAGGGTAAAATCCGTAGGTTTTTCTTTTGTCTATGTATGATTACTATACAACACGTTGCGTTTGACAACTGGACCAATGTTGGAGGTCGTGTTCTTACTCTTACAGTATGTGTGTGCTTTGAAACTCTTGTTGCAACATACATTGCTCTGCTTATAAAGCGTAACTCTTATATGCTTGTACTCTAATACACAAAGAATAAAATGTGATTGCCAATTTCACGTAATGCTTGGGGAGAATGAAAGCAAGTTCAGGTTGGATGCTCAATTGACTTCAATAGAACCAAAATTCATTGGGATATAAATCAAGCATCCAATCCAAAAAGGCCACATTCTCCTGCATTTATTAGGTGAAAACCAGTGCTATAGTATTTCGTAGAATGTAGATGTACAGATGTAATAATGTGACATAAAATTTCATTCTTTAATTTATTATGGGAAATTATGAATAATGTTGCCAGGTTTGGAGGGTTTGAGCTATAGGGAGAGGCTGAATAGCAGGGGCTATTTTCCCTGGAGCGTCAGAGGCTGAGGAGTGACCTTATAGAAGTTTATAAAATCATGAGGGGCATGGGTAGGGTGAATAGCCAAGGTCTTTTCCCCAGGGTAGGGGAGTCCAAAACTACAGGGCATAGGTTTAAGGTGAGAGGGGAAATGTTTAAAAGGGATCTAAGGGGCAACTTTTTCACGCAGAGAGTGGTACACGTATGGAATAAGCTGCCAGAGGAAGTAGTGGAGGTTGGTACAATTACAACATTTAAAAGGCATCTGGAGGGGTATGTGAATAGGAAGGGTTTAGAGGGGTATGTGCCAAATGCTGGAAAATGGGACTATATTTATATAGGATATCTGGTCGGCATGGACAAGTTGGACCAAAGGGTCTGTTTCCATGTTGTACAACTCTAGAAACCAGTTTTAATATAAGAATTTTCTTAAATCTAAATATTGAACCAATTATCAGAGGTTGGACGTTTTCACAATGCAAAATGAACTATTTGAAGTCTAGCTTAATGCTGCACAAGCACACTTGAGGCTATCATTACTTCGTTCTGCTTAGTCTCCTGGTTAATTCCAAAACAAAGCTTATAATGAGCATGAGAGATAGTAGGAACTGCAGATGCTGGAGAATCCGAGACAACAAGGTGCAGGGCTGGATGAACACAGCAGGCCAAGCAGCATCATAGGAGCATTATAATGAGCATGCTTGCTGTACTTGTCCAACTGTGTTGCATTAATGTACTAAGCAGCACCTGTATAAGGTAGCAATAATTTATGACTAATCAACTGAGAAAACAACTTGTAAGATGACAAATGTGACAAGTATTTTTAGTTTGGCTGAATATTTGGTTGATATCTTAGTTAATTATTAGCGACACATCAGTGTAACAGATTTGCAGCAGATTTTCTGCAGCTTTGTCTTCAGGTGCTGAGTTGCTCCAATTTGTTGACTTCAATATGCAGCTAGAATTCAACTGGGACCATTGATAAATTAAATGATCAATTTGGATATTTATAAAGTTTTACTAGCTTTTGCATTTGTATTAGGATATGTCAAGAGCTCAGGATTATTCACCATGAAATTGCCAGTGACCATTAATATACCCAGCAATTTTAACAATGTAAAATTGTGCAAACAAGAGCGGTTCAGATTTCTTTGTGAAAGTTGGCACTCATCCTTAATAGTTACATGTAATGCAAGTTGTATTACTCTCACATAATGCATTGCAGTCATAAATATCACAAGTGCATGAAAATTTGAGATCCAAAGACTTATCAGCTGTGTTGTAAAACTAGGCTGCTAGTTTCCATTATCCATGAGCTTCTGAGCAACAACCAACTGCTCATTGTAAAACCCAAACTAGTGATTTTCCCTAAGTCAGCAAAACTAAGAAGTTACAATCCAAACTAAGTCAAGTTTACATTAATCACTCAACATATAGGAAGGACTCCTGAATCCTTGTGACAACCATATTACTGTATTATTAATGTTCTTATTTTGTGTAACTACTCCTTCACATTACCCATTTGCTAAGTCTTTTTCTATGTCTGTTTCAACTTCTTTCAATTTTCAGACCTCCACACTATTGTATCAAGTGATTGATAATTTGAGGAAAGCCAAGTAGGATTCAATGTTACATTTCTTTGTGATCAATTCATTATCTGCTTACACCATGGTCATATTAGTTGCAGTTTGCTAGTGGCAGAAAATCTCTGTAACTTTGGATAAAGATAAGCAACATTTATAATGCAGTTTCCATAAAATGATGAGTTTGTGGCTTATGTGGCCTAATATTGATCACGGGAATATTATTATAAGTCACTGCCACCTAAGGTTTGGATCATAAATTCAGCGTTAGTTCCATTATAGATGATATATATCAATACACACAAGTGTAAAACTGAAAGTATCTTTCATCAACCTATTTTCCATATTCCATCATTTTCTGGAATATCTCCCAAGTATCGATATAAGTTAATGATATGCTGTACATAATTAGTTAAATTGTCATGATAAATTGCTTAATATATATTAAATTAACTTTTAGTTTTTGAAACTTACGGACTATTTTAAGAATATGGAGTATTTTTGAAGCAGGTTCACTGGGGAAATTATGATCTTTTGCAGCTGTCAAATCCTAGTTAGGCTAGGGAAAGAAAAGGGAATCCAGTCTTCTTGCTAATGGAACATCTCAAAGTTATCACCCTGGTGACATTGGTCTTATGGTCAGATTGTTGACTGTTATTTCTATTTACAGGTTACCCACTGGAAATAAGCCAGTAAATACAACTCCTGTGCAAGGGCAGGTCCCTCAGGATGACTCTGATAGGAGAACAGAACCTCGCTCTTCAGTCTCGGACCTTGTGAATTCGCTCACAAGTGAGATGCTGATGGTGAGTAATCAGACGTCACAACACCATGCAACAACCTGATGAAAAAATTACACCCTTAAATTCCATCCTACAGCATTGATGGGCCACTGCAAAATTGACACAGTCAAATGAACCAAAACTTTGGTCAGTTCACAGAACTTTTAATTGGAGCAGAATTGAGGGTTTGAATTGCCTATACCAGCTCTTAGATTTTGTGTTATGTAAAATGAGATTGTATGAGTCAGCACAAGTTATCAATAATATATTAAAAGTCTTGGAGGAGCTGAATTTTCTGTGAACATCACATTGGTCATACTTTACACACACACCTCAGACATCTTAATTTAGTGTATTCTGATTCACCTTGAGCCAGCTACTAATGTTACTTCAATAGGGAATAGTTCAAGTTCTGTCTGCTCATATGACATGATTTGTTGCATACATTTAGACCCTTGGACACTATAGATAGCTGTGCTACAAAACTTTTAGGAGCTGATTTGGCAAACACGGCTCCCTCAAGGAACACCCATTTCATGAGTACAAACATGAGTACAAAAATCAATGCCAGATTCATAACGGAGTTTCCAGTTATTTCATGTTTTATAGGTTTATGGAAGCTTCTCGGGCAGTAGAGGCTGCACTTGCAGTAGGGATTTGCCCAATGGTAGCATGTAAATAGGACACAAAGATACTCCTCACCTCCTATCGTTTTTTTCTTTGATTTACAACTATGGATACCCAGATGTAGGAAATCTCTATGGATTTGGAAGTTTTAAAGGGATTGTGCAGTAATCAACAGAATAATTCCCATTTAATTTTACCAATTTTATTCTAAGAAATAGGGGTTTTCAGGCTTTTGCCAATAGCTACAAGGCTGACAGTTCAGATATCAGCTATATGCCTATGAGCCTTCCAACTTATCTAGAACTTCCTACTTCTTTTGTCAGATGAAGGCTCTGTTAGGAGGCTGTTCTACATCAGGAATAACTACAGGATATTTATGGCCTAAGATAGGAAATACTGTACTAGTAGGCCCAAAGAAGTGCAAACGTACATGAAAATTGCCTCATTGAGTGCAAATAAATCAATGTTCAAATAGTGCTCCTGGATTAAGAGGACCTCCATACTCTATGAAACTCTGGAATGCTTGAGGCAGTGAGGTTGTCTATTTGATTCTTAAAAGAATTGGCATCACTATAAATTGTAAGATCTGTGCATGATATTTTGCTTTCGGTATACTAAGTAATGTTGAATTATGCTGCAGTTCCTCAGTGACTGTATTATTTGAAAAATGTTGGCAGTAAAGCAGGACTAAATTAAGAGCACAGCCTAAGTTCTCTTGGTGTTTGTTGCTAGACCCAAAGTCAGAAGTCCCCCACCTGCACTATGCAAGTTCAGTTGAAATCCAAAACATTGGGGAGTGCTAACACACCCGATACAATACTTTTAGTTAAATATTTAACGTATTTTAGTATTATGTGAGTACAGCTAATAGTAAATGCAAAGTTCGAGCACTGCAAGCTGTGAGTTATTATATAAATGGACCAGTTTATATTATTCTAGAGGTTAGTGAAGACTTGACTTTTCTGAGGGTCATTTGATCTGCTAACAGATTGGCTTCTGGTTTTATAATACATGATATTGGTAAGTGGGGCTATGGATAAAGGAAAACCAGTGGCTGAGAACCCAAGAGCATTGGGTTTGTTCAAGTCAGTGCTAAATGTAGCATCTGTAATTTAATGCGATATGCTATTTTTTAAGTTTCTTCAAAACCTTACATGCTGTATTGTGTAAGTACTATTTAGGAACAAACAACGGGTCTAGTTCATGTAGTGCAGCATTGTTTCGGAAATTTGAATTAATCAATAACTTGATTAAGCAGCATTCATATTGTGGTAATTCAAAGCATAGTGCTTAAGACATTGAATTAGTAAATAACTCTAAGTGAAAGGAATGTCCGTTATCAGAAACTTGTCTTGATTTGCTAACCTTAGCCTTGACATTCTCATTAGGTAGTCAATAATTGAAACAATGGATTATTACAGACAAGATTTAAAAATATCTGTTGTCAACTCAGTATTGCCTTCACAGCCTGATTTAGGAACGGATATACCTCGTGCACTGCATAATTAGGGCTTTATAACCTGATATTTTCTCAGGTTCAGAGCCTCTGACATCTCCTGAAAGCAAATTGTACATTTCATGCAATCTGCAATATATTCTTAACCAGCTAATATTTTGGCAAATCACAGAGAGATTAGAAAATGACAATTGTATTTTTTTTGCTCTATGTATGGGTCAAAATCCTGGAACTGTCTTCCTAGCAGTAATATGAGCGTACCTACCCTATATAGATTGCAGAGGTTCAAGAAGGTGGCTCACCTCCACCTTCTCAAGGGCCTTGGCAATAGGCAGTGAATTATGGCCTGGCCAGTGATGCCGACATCCTGTGAAGGAATAAATAAAAAAGAAAGTGTAATTTAAGTGTAATAAAATATCCCAAGGCACTTCCCTAGAGCATTATAAAACAAAATTTGATACTGAGCCTTAAATATGGATGGATGAATTAGACCTTGGTATTAGATGCAAGTTTTAAGGAGCTTACAGGGGAAGAAAAGTTAATGGAAGGACTTTCAAAACTTGGGGCTATGATAATTAAAGGCATAGTCATCAGTGAATTAACACATAAAATCAGGGATCTTAAGAGGCAAGAGTTAAAGGAAGGAGTCTGAGGCTGGAAGAAATTCTATAGCAGTATTTAAAGGCCAGTTGTATAACCAGAAGTCACATGAACCAGTGAGCCTTTTTTTTTGTGTGCTTAACATCCTACCAACAAACATTGGATGCCCTCATGTTTACATAGGGTAAAACATTGTCGGCCAGCTAGGAGTTTATTGGAATACTAAAATCTAGAGGTAAAACAATGTTGAGCAGCTTTCAGCAGCAGATGAGCTAAGGCAAGGACACAATCATCTTATTGAAGGCACTAATATGGGTTTTAAAGCCCATCTCAGGTTCAAATATGAAATCAGGTTTATGAACAGCCTCCGCCATCTGTTGCGGTCCTGGTAGAGAACCTTTACTTTTAAAGAGAAAATCATCAAGAGATGAACTGAAAGAACCACCACACAAAGGATGACCCTTAAATAAAACAGAAAAGCAAGCACGAGTAAAATAATATTATCATTTATAACAACCCATGCTATAAATTTTCTATTCCCTCCACCCCGGCTTGATCGTGAAAGTCCATCTTCTTTTTGTGTCCCAATCCAAAGGTATGTCATAGCCTTCTGAATTTCAATTTGATTTCTTCTCAGTATTTCAACTATTTTCTGAGGTATGATATTTCGTTGGACCCTGCCATTCACTTCTGGTTAAGCAATTTTCCAAATTTGTTTCTTGACTTCTCGACTCAAACTTATGTGTTCTCTGCATTCTTCAAGCCAACTGCTAGTTTTGACTGTGAGAATTTGAAGTGGATTTCTTCCTGTAGCGCCGAGCTAGGTAATCTTACGGTTTATCTCCGTTTCTCAGATTTCAACCTGTGCTGCAACCTACACAAGACCAAATCTGCAATAGCCTTCAATGAGAAACACCCAGATAAATTTAAAAAAAACCTTCTAATCCCCAATAGCCATATACGTTTCAAGGTGGAGTATCTGGGATATACCAAACAGAAATGTAAAAAATGATCTACTAATCTTCAAAACAACTAATTAATTTGAGTAAGCCATATAATAATTTATGTCTCTAATGGATATGATTGCACCCTCTCCAGATATTTTGGTTTCTTTTGAGGAAGATTTGTTTTACAGACTAACCGTAGACTCCCAGTTTATTTTAGTCTAAAACCTACGTGAATGATTTAAACATCCTCTTAAAATAAGCGTGGAACTTCTGGCCCTACCCAAAGGTCAACAATAGGTCATTCATTGTCTTAAGTTTCTTAGTTCTACATTTGATATTATAAGGACCTTTTAAATGTAGTGAGGAATACCAGTTTCTTAACCAAGTGTGTCCATTTACCACATCATCTTATAATCTCCCCCACCCTAAATATGAGCTTTATTTGCACCATTTCATTGGTACTTCAAAACAGAAACAGCCCTGGTTCCTGATAGCCTTTATCCTGGCTGCTGGCATATTCTCTCTGCTTTCTCCAACATGTTCTGGACACAAACTGATCAATACAGCAGAGATATACAAAAACTAAAGAAACTCTCTAACTCCCACAGCTCCTTATATGACAGTAATGACGCACATGGCCTGACCCCAGATAGAGATGCAAAGTTCTTATCATTAAATTTAAACCTCTTCTTTGATCCTAAAGGTATATAGACAGTTTAAACCACCTTTTTCTTTTACCAATGACCTTCAAACTTCTCTGACCTATGAAATTACATGAATAACTTAAACCCTAACAGACAGACCATCTCCTCAAAGGATGAATAATCAGGCTGCTATTGTTTAACTTTTAACACTTCATGTCATGGCTTCATTAATATAACATGGGTCTGTTGTTGATTTATAGTTGTTCCAGGTCTGTGTGCCAGCCCTTCGTACTAGGTATCCTTTGCTACATCTGACATTCGAAAAATCTTACATAAGTTTGACACTAAAATTGAGATCAACTCAGCTGTCCTTGCCATTGCCCTCCGCAAATTCACTGATACAAAATAGAATCATAAGATGTAAGAGCAGAAGTTGGCTTTTCAACCCATCAGGTGTGTTCTGCCAGTGAATGAGATCATAGTAGCTGTGATAATCTGCAACTCCTCTTTCCTGCCATTTCCCCATAGCCTTTGATTCTATTACTATCCTCATCCAAGTCATTAACATATATTACAAATATTTATGGCCCCAGCATTAATCCCTATAACACTCCAATAGTTACAGGTTGTCATCCTGAAAATACCCAACTTAGCTCAACTGTCTCTCCTATTAGTTAGCCAATCATCTACCTATGATAATATACTACCTTCAACACCATGGGCTCTTATCTTATTAATTAGATAAATGTG